ATTCAGCAGGTTGTCTTTTGTTTTGTTGACGGGTTCCTTTGCTGTGCAAAAACTTTTTAGTTTGATGTGATCCCATTTATTTATTTTTTTATGTTCCTTCCCAAGGAGATATATCAGAAGAAAATTGCTAAGAGAAGAGTCAGAGATTTTTTATTTACTCATTTTTTTTTATCCTCACCCAAGGGCATTGTTTTCATTGCTTTGAGAGAAAGAGAGAGACAGACAGGCAGACATACATTGATTGGTTGTTTCCCATACATGCCCCAACCAGGGATTGGACCCACAACCTGGGTATGCACCCACACCAAGAATTGAACCCTCAACAACTTTTGGTCTACAGGTTGACTCTTCAACCAAATGAACCATACCAGCCAGGGCAAAAAATGTCAGAGATTTTACTGTTTGTTTTCTTCTAGGAGTTTTATGGTTTTGAGTCTTACATTTAAGTCTTTAATCCATTTTGAGTTTATTCTTGAATATGGTGTAAGAAGGTAATCTAGTTTCATTTTTTTGTGTGTATATCTGTTCAATTTTCCCCACACCATGTATTTAATAGACTGTCTTTACCTCATCATATGTTCTAGCCCCCTTTGTCAAATATTAATTGACCATATAGACATAGGTTTGTTTCTGGGCTCTCTGTTCTATTCCATTGAGCTATATGTCTGTTTTTATGCCAGTACTATTCTATTTTGATTACTATAGCCTTGTAGTATAGTTTGATTATCAGGTAGTATATACCTCTAATTTTCCCTTCTTTCTCAGTATTCCTGAGGCTATTTGTTCTTTGTGGTTCCATATAAATTTTTGGATTTCTTGTTCTAGTACTGTGAAATGTGCCATTGGGCCCTGGTTGAGTAGCTCAGTTGGCAAGAGTCTTGTCCAAGGTTGCGGGTTTGATCCCCAGTGAGGGTACATACAAGGGTCAATCAATGAATGGATGGACAGGTGGAGAAATGGGTCAATGTTTCTCTCTCTCTCCCCCCACCTCTCTCTCTTCCCAAGATCAATAAAAATAAAATATTATTGGTAGCCGGGGCTGGTGTGGCTCAGGGGATTGAGTTCCAGCCTGCAAACCTAAAGGCTACCAGTTCGGTTCCCACTCAGGGCACATACCTGGGTTGTGGGCCAGGTCCCCAGAAGGGGGTGCATGAAGGGCAATCGATCAATGTATCTCTGTCACATCAATGTTTCTCTCCTTCTCTCCCTCCCTTTCCTTCTCTCTAAAAATAAATAAAATCTTTAAAAATATATTATTGGTATTTAAATAAAAATATTATTGGTATTTTGATAGGAATTGGGTTGAATCTATAGATTGCTTTGGGTAGTATGGGCATTTTAATGATGTTAATTCTTCCTATCCGTGAACACAGTATATGCTTCCATTTATATGAATCTTCTTCAGTTTCTTCAGTATCTTATAATTCTCTGAGTGTAGGTCTTTTGCCTTCTTGGAGAACCTGTAATATTATTAACTCCACAGTGTGCACGTGGAGGTGGGATGGACATGGATGGGCAGGGGGTGTAATTCACAGCGCACAGCGTAGGAGCAACTCACGCGAAGACGTCTATGCAGGAATGGATGGAAGCTGTCAGCAGTGTGGGGGGTCCACAGTCGTTCCCCACCCACCCCACCCCCTGCTCCCTGCTCTTGAAGCCTCCTTCCTAGTCCTCTGGGTGGAACCCAGTTAGCCTCTGGGTGCCCACCCACCTGCCTGGTTCTGCTGGTGAATGCTCAGTGGTCACTCCACGCTAGATCTTTACTCTCCTTTCTTTATTTTAACTCATCTGGACAAATACTGTAGGGGTGAAGACTGATTAGCAGAACATCTGAGTTGAAGGCAATTTTGAAAGCCATGCATTTTGGCCACAGGGCGGTCTCCTCGCCGGGACAGCCAGGAGAGCTGGCTCATGAATGGACATGAAGGAATGACTTGTAACCATCCTACTGACCACAAGTAAAGGGGTCACTTTTAGTTTAAAGATATTTGGAAGTTGTGTGTTCCCAAATGACACCATTTATTACTGTGATTTTCTTCATGGAGATGCCGTGGTAATGTGCACAGCCCTCTTTTGTTGTCCTCATGGTCTGTAGCTCCTCCAGCTTCTGCTCTTTACCTTGCTTACACTGTCTTCTCCCAGTCATTCCTCAAACGTGTGCCTGCATGTAGCCTGGGGTTCAGGCTCAGGGGGTCAGTGTGGAGCAGGCAGGGTCCCTCAGGTCTAGAGCCCTGGAGGAGAACAGCGAGAGTACCCCAGTAGCAGGACAGGTGTGATCTGGGTGCTGGGAGAGCCCCAGCAGGGCCTCCACCCTGGGCTGTGGAGGGCCGAGGGAAGCCTCCCCTCCCCAAGAAAGTCACATTTAAACCTAAAGGCGAGAGGTTTAGAATCTATCCATGCAAGGGCATGATTATCCATGCACAGTGAGATTATGCAAGGTCATAGTCCTACCCCATGGGTAAGGCTCAGCTTCCTTTTCTCTCAGAGCCCTCCTGTAATTCTTTCACCCAACAATGTACGTGCCTCTGAGTTCCGGCAGCCCCTCCAGCTCAAATCACACTCTCCAGTGCCTGAGGAACAGTCTTCCTGCCTCTGAAACCACGAGCCAGGCTCCATCTCCTTCTCCTCCAGGTCCTGTTTTATCCCCTGGTCTTCAGGCTCAAGTGCTTGTTCCTTAGGGTGGAGCCCATGCCCTCCTCGTCCCTGGTGGCCCAGTGGGGTCAGGGGCTGCCCAGATGATTCTCTCTGAGGGCTCAGTGGTTTGACCTGGATGTGTGCCACCCTACGGGCTGCTCTTGTCAAAGCACTCAAAGCAAAGAAGGGACAGACAGATGAGACGGATAGAATCTACCACACAAAACTTAAACACAAGTATAGCAACAATACCGGACAAAACTAAAAGACAAATGACTAACTGGGGGAAATATTTGCAAAAATGATAAGCCAAGGATTAATATTATCAATAAAGACTTTGTACAAATCAGTAAGAAAAATAGGAAGATCCTTACAGAGAATTCACATTTCAGTGGTTAATAAATATTTGGGAAAAAGTGTTCAACCTACCAGTAAGTAGAAATGGAAATAAAAACAATACATTCTCACCTATCAAATTTGCAAAAGGTGAGAAAAAGATAATGCCCAGTGTAGGGCTTGGACGTAAGGACGCGGGCACCCTGAGTCAGTGCTAAGACCGTGTCCACTGGTAAAGCGTCTGGAAAGCATTTTGGAAGTGAGTCTAATGAACCTGAGAAATGTTCACTCTCAATCCACTAATTTCCCTTCTGAGACTGTATCTTAGAACAGTGACAGTGATATGGAGAATTTCTTATGAAATTATGTTAAGAAAGAAAAATAGGGCATACAAATTATATGATACATAATCCCACTCACATAAATTATAAATTTATGCACAATGTATCTTTGGGTGATTTGGGGGGATATTTTTCTTATGGGTGATTTTGATCATTATATTTATATTTTTTCTATAATTAGCATTAAAAAAAACAAGGGGGGGGCCTGGCTGGTATGGCACCCTTAGTTGGGTATCATCCTGCAAACCCAAGGTCATGGGCTTGATTTTGGGCACATGCCTGGGTTGTGGGTCTCTCACACTGATGCTTCTCTCCCTCTTTTTCTCCTGCCTTACCCCTCTCTCTAGAATCAATGAAAGAAAAAAAAATTTTTAAATCAAAGGGGAAAAAGCCTCTGTGAAATGTGAAATGATGGAACAAAATAAATTCTGAAATTAACTTTGGGAGTCAAAGTGTCAAATCACTACAATCTGTCACTTTGCAAGATTTGAAATGTATGTTGATGTGTATATCAAAACCCTCCGTAAATCTGGGGTGGAGGCCACCAGGTCACAGAGCTGTGGCTGGGCTGATTTTGCAGGTGAGGTCACTTGGTTGTGATATGTGTACAGCCTGTGCCATGCTTGGCCTGTTTCCTAATCTGTACAAGGGTCTGGTGGCAGGGGAGTAGGGGTGGGAATCAGACTAAATAATCTCGGAGAGTCCTGGCAGATCTCTGCTGAGTCTGTAACTCTGTTCTTAAAGGAGAGAACTTGGACTTGCCTGAGTCACCGAGCTGAGAGCAACTGAGGGCTGTGATCGGCAGGCTCTGGGTTCCAGCTCCTCACCTGGGAGAGACCACTGCACAGGGCCTGTTACCTATTCCCGCCACCGCACTGTCCTGCCTCAGCTCTGCGTGTTGGCCACCCTCTCTTCCCATTAGCCCTGGGCCCGATTTGACTGCTCAGGCTTTATTATTTCAAGCCTGTCTTCCTGGAGGGGCAGAAAGCTGGGAACCCTATTATTTGGAGCCATTTAGTGGAGACATGAACTCAAAGGCAATTGAGGAGCTCACTCTTCCCAGGGAGAGGAGGCTCCTCCTTCCAGGGCCTTCAGTCTGGGATGTTTTTGAGACGGATTGGCTCTCAGGCTGCACTACCCTGATTGTCCAAAGGCAGCCAGTGGTGACTTCCTGGTGTGGGGCAGCCCCTCCCCTCCTGGCCCACATTTCCCTGTGGGCTCTCTAGAATCCACCCCCACACCCTAGGCCACCTCAGTTCCTCAGCTTTGAAGAGGCTCCTGTGTCCAGCGTCCTTTCCCAGAAACTGACGATTCACAGTAAAGCTCAGATCTGGCTTTCAGCCTTGAGTGAGTCTCAGAGTCCTCCCTCCCAGTGTGCGTTAAGGGTGGGACCAGAGGCCTAATTCTGCCTGGCATCTGCATGAGGTGGATTGATTTTCTTCCAGCTCACTGATAAACTGAACTCAGACTTCTAGGAAAGACAACTAGTGAGACTCCTTCCTCTGTTGGCTGTTCCAGAACACCTGTCTGAGCTGCTACCTGAGGGCTGCAGTGTCTTCAGTCTCACCCTGAATAGTGGGGCTAGTCTGGGGTGGAAAGCAGAGGCAGCTGCCCTGGGTATGGTGGAGCTGGTAGGGAAAGGGGTTCCCATGAAGCCCCCCTTCCCAACGTGGACCTATTTCTTCTTAGCAACCAACAGATGCTTGGGAAGACGACTTCTCTGAAGAGCCCTGTGTTCTGCTCAGAGAAACTGGACAGGGTTCCGACACCCCAGGACTCCAGGTGAGGCCCTGCTAAGTCAGATAGGCATATGGACTGGGAGTGGGAAGCCCTGGGGAGGTGACCTGTTGGAAATGGGACCTTAAGGCTGAGTGAGGATGTTAGGTGGAGCCTAGGTTGCCCAGGGCCTCTTCCTCACACTCCCAGGCCTGACCCAGTGCACTGGGACCTAGCAGAGTCCCTACTTCTCAGGTTACCAGCCTCCTCCCCTGCCCACCTGTCCTCAGGCCAACTTGGCTAGAACAAAGGTTTGCGTTTCAGCACCTCCCCATTCTCCCCCAACCTTGGTAGCCTCTGTGAGGTCAGGTGAGTCTGCAGAACACCTCACTGCAGAGCTCCAGGCCACCAGGAGGAGGCTGCTGGGAGGGCAGCCCAGCTGGGATCATGGCTCATAGTCAGGACCCGGAGCTGTGAGTCTGACACCACCATCTCACCCACTCCCCAGACTGGTTCTCTTTCCTCCCTGTGCCTCCTACTCCTTTATTCTTGACTCTGTTCCTCTGCTTACCCCTTGGCCAGAGAAATAGGGAAGGGTTTTTAACACCCAGAGGTGGATGGCTCCTAAGCATCTCTGGGAGATCTAAGCTCAGGCTGAGCAAATCTCCCGGGGGGAGGCACTGCTCACAGCTGTCTGGAGGGAGGGGTCACTGGGACTCCTTTGTGTGGCCCCTCTGTGCAGACTGGAGCATCCTTCCCTAGGGTCGAGTTACTCAGCTGCTGTGCTTATCGCTGTGCTTATCGCTGTGCTGTAGCCCCTAGAGAAGGGCCCTTCTCCAATCTCTGCCTCAAGCTTCTGGCTTGAAGCCAGGGCAGAACTGGCACTGAGGATGCATGGGTAGGGCTCAAAGTTTCCTTGCCCCTGGAATGGAATGTCTCCTTTGCAGTCTGCACTGGCCAGAAGGCCTGAAGAGTGAAGAGATCAAGAAATACAGCCGAGAAGGGGTAAGTGTGTGAAGGCTGACTTCTCACTGCCCAGCAAGGGAGGGGCCCTGGACAACCTGAATTCAGTGACTGCTGGCTCCTTGGCCACCAGTGCACCTGAATGGTGTCCCCTCCTGGGTGGGAGTGGTGCAGTTCCCTTCCAGGAATAGGCTGCCTGTCAGCACCCAGCGTGACCAGAGAACAAGCTGTGCTCAGAACTCAGCCCTCTGCACCCGCTGGCTACTTACCGGCCTCTTCATGCTCAGTCCCTGGGGGGCCTGCGGCATGACCTGGTGCCTGGAGCAGGGCCCCTTTGGTGTGTGATCTCCCAGGACTTCTCAGCCCTACCCCGTGTGTTTGCAGACACTGCTGAGTAAATACAACCAGCAATACCATAAGCTGTTCAAGGACATCCCCTTAGAGGAGGTGGTTCTCAAAGGTGAGCTATCTCCCCTGCATGCCCGGGCAGGCGCCCACAGTGCCCGAGGCCCAGGTACTGGCCTCACACTTTAGAAATGGGAACTGGCTGCCCTTTGGATGTGGTTGGTCCATTTTTCTTCAAAAGTGTGAGAAGACTAGGCTGGTTTGGGTCTGAAGTTGAATTTATGAAAGTTTTCTTGAGGAAATGTCAGGGCTTCCAAATCTTATATCTGTTCTGCTCTTATCAGTGATTATTCTTTCCTGCCTGGGCCTCTCCTTGAGCCTGTGGGAGTCCTCTCTGCAGGCAGAGTGGGCAGGGCGGGCAGGGCGGGCACGGCAAGGGATTCTCCCTGAGGCAGTGAGAATCCAGGCTGGGGGCACCAGGGCAGAAACCTGCCCAGGCCCTTCGGAGTGTGAAAGGAGAGAGAGGAAACATCTAGCAGTCTGCTGGCATGGGGTGGGGGCAGTCAGGACTCTTGGGGTACTGGGGACAGGTTGTTTGGGAAGTGGGGGTCTGAGGAAGACCATTCCTGAGGCTGGATTCTGGACTCTTGAGGGTGAGGACCCAGGCCCTGGGGCTTCCTGATTGACCTCCCTCATGGTGGTCTTTTCTCCTGTGACTTCCCAGTGTGCTCCTGCGCTCTCCAGAGGGACCTCCTTCTCCAGGGCCGGCTCTATATCTCCCCCAACTGGCTCTGCTTCCATGCCAGCCTCTTTGGCAAGGATATCAAGGTAGTAAAGAATGGCAAGGTCTGTTACAGCCCAGTGAGGGTCCAGCCCCAGCCCAGGGAAGAGATAGCCCCCACCCCATGGGCATGCCTTTTCTCACGCCTGTCTCGCCGCTTGCTGGTTGGATGAGCGGCCGTGCAGCATCCTGCCTGGTGTCAGTGCTGCCCCTTCCAAAACAGGGGCCTCACCTCTACATCTGGCCTGAGTTGGCCTGAATAGTTCTCAGCCAAATTGTTCTGCCTCTGAAATGCCTTCAGAATCAGAGTGGGATGTCACACTTAGGGGCAGCCATAACTGTGGTCAGGAAGTAGCTCAGGGAAGTCCATCACTAGGGTATAGGTTCAACAGAGCCGCATCCTTGGCCTCTTGGGTAAGAGGGTGAAAGCCTGGAGTGATGTGCTGCCGGGGCTGGGCGCGGCGGGGGACAGCTGGAAGGGAAGCCTGCATGGGAAGGGGAAGCTCCAGGCATTCTCTGCCACGTGTGGCCAGGCTTCTCCTTGGTACCCGTGCTTGGCTCACTGCCGGCTAGGGCTGGGGCCCTGTGCCAGAAGCAAAGGGACAACGTCCTTGGGAATGAGTCCTGAGAGCAGCATGTTTCTCCCCCCCGAAGGTGGTCATTCCTGTGGTGTCTGTGCAAATGATCAAGAAACACAAGATGGCACGGCTCCTTCCCAATGGCCTGGCCATCACCACCAACACGAGCCAGAAGGTCTGTGTCTCCAAGCTGCACTCTCGCCAGTCTCCCACCCCCGCAGCCGGGCTGCGCACACTCCCAAGTCTTTACTCACCCCACCCCTTTGTTTTCTTCCCTTGTCCCAGTATGTTTTTGTGTCACTGCTCTCCCGGGACAGTGTGTATGACATGCTGAGGAGGGTCTGCACTCACCTACAGGTATGGAGCTCAGAAGGAGGAGTGAGGCAGGGAGGCTACTCCGGCCCGGACTGAGGTCTTGGGAATGAGGCTGTTGGGGAGATCGGCCCATTTCTTGAGCACAGGGAACAGGGGCAGGGAGAGGAGAGTAATGGGCTCAGCCTCTGTGTCAGAGGCCATCCTTGGACTGTGTGTATTTGTGAGCATGCCTCTGTGAGGCCAGCTGGACCTGGTGTGTCCCCACATGTATGCCCTCCCCTGGGCTTGCTTCCTCAGTGTACAGGCAGATGGCAGCATGGGCTGCTTCCCTGGATGCCTGTAGCTCCCTGGAGCGTAAGGTGTGGAAGGGGAGGGGCGGCAGCAGCTCGGGAGAGGAGTTGCCTTGGACTTGCCCCTCTGCTCTAGCATTAAATCGGGCACCCCTGCAAATGCTGGGAGCTAGGCTCCATCTGATCCAAAAGGGAGGTAGAGCTCTCTTAAGGCAAGCTAATGCCTTGCCATGCCTGACCATGGCTGTTCCAAATGGACAAGTCACCCCTATTCCCTTTCCTCCTCAGCCTTCCAGCAAGAAGAGTCTGAGTGTAAGAGAATTTCCAGAGGAGCCTGAGTGCGAGTCCCTGGTGAGAGCTGAGGTCAGGAGTGACCATTGCTGGCTGGGGTTGCCTGTGGCTTGAGGCTCAGGCCTTCCAGGCAGGGAGGGGCCATGACACACAACCGAGGCACCAAGCTCAAGACCCAGCAGCCGTGCTGTATCAGGGGTCTCCTAGACCCACCACACCCTATACCATGCAGAGGCACCAGGTCCTGGGCAGATCTGCTTGCCTTGTGAGCAGAACAGATATTTAGCCCTCAGAACAGTCCAGATCGGATCCCACACCTTTATAGGGACAGAACCAGTGACCCATCCTTTTTCTTTTATCAAAGTCAGGGGGGCCTTTTAGAGGATAGAGATATCCCTGGAGAAGAACTTTGAAGGCTATTACTGCAGAACTGAGACTCGTTTTAGACCTGCTGAGATTCTAGCAGTTTCTTTTGTCAGCTGGGGTTCTGGGTAGGCAGAGTTGAGTTTTTAGAGCAGGGATGGGAGGTGGAAGTGGCCCCATGGTGGTGTTTGAAGCCTCCTTCAGTAACTATTAAGCAGTCAGCCAAGCATGCAGTATGCACAATGCCATGTAGGGAGACAGAAGGTGATGTTCCCATTTTTGTTGACGGGGACCTTAAGTGCCCACTGCCAAGACCAGTGACGTGCTTAGGCCAAGAGTCCAGATTAGGAGTCATGACTTATCCCACCTGAGACAGGTTGTGCTGAGCCTTCTTGGACTCAGCTGACCCAAGCACGTACTTGGGTGGTCTCACATCTTGGATCCTGCTGTGGCTCTACACTAGCAGTCTGCAAAGACATTGTTCCCTGGAAGAGCAGCTGGTCACAGCAAGGAAACAGATAGGAGAGGCCATGGTTGCCCTGGCAGTGGTTCCCCTCCTGGGCATCTGCTTCCATGCTATGCTGTGCATCTGCGTTGGTAATATGTCAAGAAAGCTTTGATAAAGCTGGTATGGGCCCCTTAGGGCAAGTAAGATCCCAAGGGTCATGATGGGACAGCTTCTCCTGCTTTCCCTGCAGGAAGTCCTCATCCCTGAGATGAAGTGGAGAAAAGTGTGCCCTGCTTCGAGGTCCCTGTCCCACCCAGACAGCATCCCCTGTGCCCCTCGGGCATCCGTGGACTCCCCGGATAGCCTGTTCCTCTCCAGGAAACCCCCTCGGTCTGGTGAGTTCAGGGGGCTTGTACACAGTAGCGGCAGGCAAAAACCAGGCTTCTCCTCCTCTCACTTCTGTGTAAAGGGGTCATCACGGCCAGCAGGGCTTCTGAGAGCTGTTCCTTTCTTCCTCCAAGTCCATAGGGCAAGCCAAGAGTCCCAGCTGCTTCAGAGGATGGCAGAACATGGGCATGCCCATGCTGAGCTGGGGCCCTGCCAGTCCCAGGAAGGTGACTAACTGCTCTCTCACTGCAGAAAATGCCTCCTGTGAGCAGGACACACTGGAGGAGGAGCCCAGGAGCAACGAGGAACTGAGGCTCTGGAATTACCGGCTCCTCAAGGTCTTCTTTGTGTTGTAGGTGACTGTATTAGGGAAGGGGGTAGACCCATCTGGCTGTCTGGGTGTTTGGAACAGGGGCCCTGGTGTGTGGGGAGGTCACTGTCAAGAGCGAGGGGAAGATTCTGAGTCAACTAGAAGCTCCTGGGTGGTGTCTGGAGGTTACCTGGCAGACCCTTCTGTGGTGAGACAGAGTATCTCTAGTTTTTATTTTTACAACCCTGTAATTTAGGGTTAGAGGAGGGCAGGATATGAAACTGTTGGGAAAAGGACAAGTTGCACCGAACTGGGGAGGGCCGGCATCAGACAGACTAGGGGAAAGCCGCCATTCGGGCAGTGAGCTGGGTGGGCTGTGTCATGAATAGCCAGCCCCTGGCTTCCTCTCATCTAGCCTCATTGCCTTCCCCTAACTCAGCTGGCTGGGGCCTACCTCCTTAGAGGGTGATTTTACTCTCCCAGAGGAGGTGCCGGACCAAGGTGGCTGGTTAGAGGGAAGGCGGGACCAGCTGAAGAACCCGAACTCCTGCTGGGCCTTGAGGACACCTCCAGGGACAGGAGTCTCAGCACGCCCATGTGGTCGCAGGCTCGACTGCGGCTGCGGGGTGAGGGGTTCTGTAATTCTTCCAGTTGCCAGAGTAGCTCAGTCCCGCTCCTACTTTTGGTGAGCCTCTAAAAATGCCCCTCTTCTAGAAGAGAGATTCAGCCCCCCTGCCCCTTTCCCTCCAGGATCTGCTTCCTGGTCGCGTCCTCATCCTATCTGGCATTCCGCATCTCCCGGCTGGAACAGCAGCTGTGCTCCCTGAACTGGGACGGCCCAGTCCCTGGGCACAGGTGATGCCCCTTTCTCTTCCCAGTGCCTCTGGGATTCAGGGCTAAGGACAGGGACTAAAACCTACAGCCAGGCTGCTTGTGACCCTCGCTGGGCTGGCCCTGCCCTCCACAATCTGGCTGGCTGGCCCCAAGCAAGGCTGGGCAGAGTGTGCAGGGTGTGCAGACCCCACCCGACCCACTTTACGAGGTCAGGAGGGGAGGCTTCGTTGACCTTTCTACCATCCAGGCCCTTTCTCTGATCTGGGCATCTCTCCTGTGTGCAGGTAACAGCCTCTCGGCCTCTGTCCTCACTCCGCCCAGAAGAATGCCTTGGGTGCTCAGGGTCCATCAGCGGCCCCCTTGGGTCCATGACGCTGCTGCTGCGCTGGGACTGACTATGAAGGAAAATAGCCCAGAACCCCTCCTCTTCCCCTGACTCTTCTGCTTCCTCTGAGTGAACTGAAGTATCTGTTTAAAAAGCTCCTACAATTTTTGAACTCAGACAAAAAGCCAGATTTTTAGAACCAATGGAGGAATCCTGTACACTAAGCTTCAGCAACCAGTTCAGTGAAAAAAAAAATTTACCTTGTTCCTCAGAAACAGTTCTGGCACACAGGCAGAGCACTAGGGGCCACACCAAGGGACAGAGGCCATGTTTTGACATGTGAGAGGCAGCTCTTTGTCACATGGCTCAGTCCAGTGCTGGGAGCGACGCCAGCACTCAGACCAGGAGTGTGGGCTCTGTTCTCTCTCCACATACAAAGAGTCCCTGCTCTTTGGCCCACAGGACTTCTCTGCAGGGGTCCAGGTACCCACCTTTCAGGACTAGGGCAGACTGGAGGGAGGTGTGGGCAAATTATGAAGGGGAGAGGGAAGGGCCTGTGGCCAGGATTCCATCAAGAAAGGAATATTTGCCCTGGCCAGTGTACCTCACTTGGTTGGAGCATCATCTCGGAAACCAAAAGGTTGCGAGTTCTATTCCCGGTCAGGGCACATACCTGGGTTGCAGGTTCAGTCCCTAGTCAGGGCACGTGTGGGAGGCAACGGATGCATGTTTCTCTCTCACATTAATACATCTCTCCCTCTCTCTCCCCCACCATTCCCCTCACACTAAAATCAATAAGCATGTCCTTGGATGAAGTTTAAAATAAAAAGTGTGCTGAGGCTCTGTCCTGGCCCCTCATGAGGAAGCTGGCTGACCCTGCGAGGAGGACACTGCCGGGGCAGGGGCAGTGGCAGGGGCTGTGAAGGAGAACAGAGGGCTGGCATTCCATTCCTTAGCTGCCACTTCCTTGTGGGACAGGGGAGCAGGGCCTTTGATCTCAGACTGGCACCAGATCTCCCCCTGGTGTGCACACACATTTCCAAAGTGCTGCAGGTGGAAAGTAGGTATGACAAGGGTGGTGGCTTTGATCCGAGGTATTGCTTTGTTCTCTCTGCCCCACTGCCTGCATCTTTGGCATTGCCAAGAGCAACCTGTCGGGGAGGCATGGCTGGGGCCTGGGCATGGTACCTGCATTACCTGTAGCCACTCCATAGCCTCTGTTCTCCGTGCAAAAGGTGGAGGTGTCCAAAGTGGTTCTGGTACAGTGCAGGGGACAAGGCAGTCAGTCTGACACCTTTGGGGGAAAGAGAGGGAGGGGATGTTAAGTGTAAACAGTTGTGGCTCTGATTTAGAGATTTCTCCTTGTCCGTCAAGGTCTCCTCTAGTCTGAAAAGCTGCTCTGTATCTCAGAACTCTGGCCTGCTTCCCCCAGGGGCCCCATTCGCTACCCCAGTGACTTGGGAAGTTCTGTAAGGCCTGCGGTGAGGCCAGTGGGATCAGGAAAAGTCACTGGTGATGAGGTGAGTGGTGTCAGAAATGGCCACTGTTTCCCATTTTCAGATACCTGAGAGGTTAACTGGGGAGAAATCCAAGTGGAAATCATTTACTACAGAGCTGTGGTCATCTACCCTGCTTATGACAAACCCCAATGGGGACTGGAGAGGCTGACAGTACAACTCCCTAAGCTCAGTCTGCAGGTCTCTAGGGTCTAGGGTCTAGGATTAAGTTTTAGGCCTGGCCTTGTGGGTTGCTTGCACCAAAACTGTATGTCTCAGGTAAAGTTCTACTGTGCCACACTGGGTGAATACTCACCCTTTTTTGGAAACCAGCCCCCTTCATCATTCCTTTTCTCCTGTTTCAGGGACTTAATAGTACGTTCCCTAGAGTCTCCCCTCCCTGGTCCTTGCTGAAGGGTGGGGAGAGCAGACCCATTCTCTGAGCCTTGCTAAGTTGACCCAGAGGCCCCGAGAGGTGCCAAATCATAGGTGGCTGTGATGCTGATGAACACAGCCGTGCCCCCGGCTCAGAAAGGGCAAGAGGCATGCCGTAGGGTAGATGGCTTGGGAGGCCCTCTAAGGTCCAGGGCTCTGAGTGGTATGGCTGCGCCTGCGCCTCTGGAGGGTCCTTTCTCTGTTTCTCCCTTTTGTCACCCAGCCTGGTTCTCTGAGGCCTGAGTACCTCTCTTGTGCTCATTTATAAATCACGTGTGTTTATCCAGACTTGCTTGTATTGGCTGGTGTTCCTCTAATTCCCTGAGAGTTTGGTTCAACTGTTCTTGGGTTGTTTCACTATGGCATTAGCCTTTGAAAATAGTTTTAAATAAAAAAAAATTCTGATTTTGCTAGTGCCTGTAATATGGAAAGTTCATTTTTACCTTTTGACTGCTCACTAAAGGTGCTGTCACTGACATATCTGGCACCAAGGAGAGTGAAAAAGCTCAAGTCGTTCCTAGAATCCCAAATACTCTGCAAACCTCACAGGACTTTAGCTGAGCTAACTCATACTTCAGGCACATGACAAAGGGTAAGGGTGGCCACAGTGAACCATCCGTCTGTCTCTGTTGGGGGGACACGGAGGACGACACCCCATTTCTCTGGGGCAACTCTAAAGCAATGCCCATGGTTTATATCCAGCCTAGCTTTGGCAGGTTACACTCCAGCTGGGGCCACACATCACCTTGCTTTCTCCCTGGATGCCCCCTCTAGTAGGAATTATTCTGTAAATATGGAGCCCAGACCATGGGCCAGCTACTACGTGGAGCCCCAGACTGTCGCCATGACCCAGTTAGGCAGTGTCTCTGCACCTCCTTGGCACTTGTGTTCCATGTAAATGTAAGTTCCAAGTAAATATGCAAACAAATGAGGTAATTGCAGGCTATGATTAAGTTCCAGGAAGGAAAGAAACAGTGATATGAGGTTAAATTAGCAAGATGGCTTTAGATAGGTGGTCAGGAAAGACTCTCTGAAGTGACATTTAAGCTGGTTCTTAAAGAATGAGGAGCCCGCGATGGGTGGAGCCGAAACACAAGCATTCCTGGCAAATGGATCAGCAACTACAAAAGGTAGGAAAGAGTGTCTATGCCTTTGAGAAAGAGACCATCTACACGTCTCTAGGATACTAATTAAGTGGAACAGTGACATGAAAAGAGGTTGAAGAGGTCAACTCAATGACCACAACCAACAACCCAATTTAAAAATGGGTAAAGGGCCCCAGCTGGTGTGGCTGAGTGGATTGAGTGTCGGTCTGCGAACCAAAGGGTCATTGGTTCAATTCCCAGTCAGGGCACATGCCTGGGTTGTAGGCCAGGTCCCCAGTAGGGGGCATGTGAGAGATAACCACACATTGATGTTTCTCTCCCTCTCTTCCCCCATCTCTAAAAATAAATAAAATCTTTAAAAAAACGAGTAAAGGGCCCTGACCTGTGTGGCTCAATTAGTTTAGCATCTTTCCACAAAGTGAAAGATCACCAGTTCCTGGTCAGGGCACATGCCTGGGTTGCGGATTCAGCCCCCATTCGGGGAGCATACAAGAGGCAACTGATCAATGTTTCTCTCTCATATTGATGTTTCCCTCCCTCTTTTTCCCTCCATCCCCCCACTCCCTGCAAATAAATAAAACCTTAAAAAAAATTGGTAAAGGACTTGAATAGACATTTTTCCAAAGAAGACACACAAATGGCAAACCAGTACATGAAAAGATGCTCAGCATCACTAATCATTAGGGAAATGCAAACCAGAGCCACGATCGGGTACCACTTCACATCTGTTAGGATAGCCATTGTCGAAGAAACAGAAAACAACAGATGTCAGTGAGGATGTGGGGAGACTGCAACACATATTCTGTGGATAGGAATGTAAAATGATGTAGCCACTGTGAAAAAGATATAGTAGTTCTTTAAAAAATTAAAAATAGAGCTATTCTGTGACCTAGTAATACTACTTCTAGGTGTAAAAGAACTGAAAGCAGGGTCTCAAACAGCTATCTGTACATAAATGTTCTTAGCAGTATTCCCACAATAGTCAAAAGACAGAAGCAAACTAAGGTCCATCAACACGAGTGGATGAGCAAAATGTGGTGTGTGCATACAGTGTTTTCAGCCTTAAAATGGAAGGGCATTCTGACACAAGCTACAACATGGATGAACACTGAGGACATCGTGCTCAGTGAAATAAGCCAGACACAAAAACAAATAACTGCATGATTCTACTTACATAAGGTACCTGGGGTGAGCAAATCCATAGAAACAGAAAGTAGAGTGGTGGTTGCCCAGGGCCGCAGGGCGGGGCGTGGAGAGTTACTGTTTCATGGGCACAGAGTTTCAGTTTTGCAAGATGAGAAAAGCTCTGGAGATTGGTAGTAGTGATTGTTGCATAGTAATGTGAGTGTACTTTGAACTATGAAACTATACATTTAAAATGGCTAAGACAGAAAATTTCATGTGTATTTTACAATTAAAAAAAAAAAGGTTGGAGGGTAGACAGAAGGGAGTTTGAGTTTTATATAATCCCTGGGTACTGCAGCTCAGATCTGAAAGTTTGGAGCTGGTGGGATCAGTGGATGCAGAAACCAAGTGCTTCCTTTTGCTAAAGGAGACAAACCTGTGGGTGTAAAGTGCAGGAAAACTCAGCTGATAATCTACACATACCCTCTTTTCACTATCCCCAGGGACTGGTTTATAGTAGCAGCGTCACAGAGAGGAC